GAGGGCTGCCCTGGAGTCCCCTGCCCCTCACCCCCCACCCCCACCCGATGCCCCTTTCCCCCGGGGCCGCCAGTGGCCTTCGGTCTCTGCGCCCAGTGGGCAGTGCCTCCCTCAAAAGCCCCGCCAGGGAGGTGGTGGGCCTCTTGGTGGTGAGGACCCTGGGCTCAGATGTCAGACAGCTGGTCCTGGGCTGAGGGCCGGTGCTTGTGAGGCTTCTAGCCACAGCCACATCCCATTCTGGGCGCTTCTCTACTCCCCCCAGGCTGCACAAGGGCTGCGGTGCTGGCTGCAACAGTGGTGGGAACGTGGACGACTCAGACTGTGGGGGGGGCGGCGGCCTGACCTCTCTCAGCAGCAACCCCCCCTTGGCACACCCCACGCCCGAGAACACAGCAGGTGAGCAGCGAGGCTGGGCTGAACCAGGGGCCAAGGGCGATGGCCTGGCTGAAGTCCCTGCTCTCTTATCTGTCTCCTGCAGGCAGTGGTGACCAGCCCCTCCCACCAGGCCCAGGCTGGGGGCCGCGGCCCTCCCTGAGTAGTTCTGGTGACGGGCGGCCTCCCCCTCTGCTGCAGTGGCCTCCTCCTCGGCTCCCTGGACCACTCCCTGCCTCACCCGCCCCTACTGAGGGTCCCCGGCCTTCACGACCCCCAGGCCCTGGCCTCCTCAGTTCTGAGGGCCCCAGCGGAAAGTGGAGCCTGGGGGGTCGGAAGGGGCTGGGAGGATCTGATGGGGAGCCAGCCTCAGGGAGCCCCAAAGGAGGTACCCCCAAATCTCAGGTAAGGGACGTGTGGGAGGGTCAGGTCCCAGGAGGTCCGGGTCAGCTTGCCCACCAACCTCTCTTCCCTCCCACAGGCGCCTCTAGACCTCAGCCTCAGCCTCAGCCTCAGCCTCAGCCTGGACGTGAGCACTGAGGCCTCACCCCCCCGAGCTGCCCAGGACATTCCTTGCTTGGACAGCAGTGCCCCTGAGAGTGGCACGCCTACTGGGGCCCCAGGCGACTGGCCTGCCCCCACTGAGGAACGTGAGAGCCCGGCAGCCCAGCCCTTGCTGGAGCACCAATACTGAGCAGCCTGGCGCCCGCTGGGTCTCACACCAAGATTCAGTTACTCGGACCCCCTCTGCTGCCTCTGGCCCTCTCTGCTGGACCACGGAATTGAGTGGCGTTGGCTTCCACATCTGAGCCCTGGCCTCTGGCTGCCTCAGCCAGAGAATCAGAACTGAATGGCCCGGACCTCGACCCCTGATCTCATCCCTAGTCCAGGGCCTGGCCTCCCCAGACGGAGGCAGTCAGCCTCCTAGCCAGGCCCTAAGAGCCAAACCATGGGCTGGTCCCGCTTTGAGCCCGTGGCCAGGACCACTTCTGCCCCTGGGCTTGCACTGCCTGCAGGGGTGGCCCCCTTGGCCTGGACCTGGGGCCTGAATGAGGGAACGGTGGTTTCTTTCTTTCTTTTTTTTTTTTTTTTGGTCATTTTTTTTCGTGCTTCGGAGACACCAGAATTAATAACACTATTTTTGATTTTGGTTGACTGTTTCTTTTATACCTGGGAGTGAGTATAGGGAAGAGGAAGTGGCCAAGCAGGATGGATGAGCATGGAGTGGGGGTGAGGTTGTGGGGCTGAGGTATGATAAAGGTCAAGGTCAGACCAAAGTGAGGTTCAGGTAGGACTGCATCCTCTTCTCCACAAGCCTGTTCCCTTTTCAACCTTGACGTGAAGGTCATTATGTTCAGTTTCCCCATATGTCCAAAGGCTTCTGGGTCTAGTGGTGCCTACATTTATTGGCCTTGACCTTGACCTTGACCAAAGCCTTTCTTTGAACTTCAGTTGCTCTAAGCCAGAAAGAGATGACACTTAATTGAGTTGGCCCACCACTATAGGAAAAAAAAAAGACACCCAAGGTGTTTTAAGAATAAATGAGGCAGCAGGCTGGGCACCATGTAATCCCAACCCTTTAGGAGGTCGAAGCAGGAAGAGCTCTTGAGCCCAGGAGTTGTAGATCAGCCTGGCCAACAGCAAGAACTGTCTCTGCAAAAAATTATAATAACAAAAAAGTTAAAGGGATGTGGTGCACACCTGAGTCCCAGTTACTTGGGAGGCTGAGGCAGGAGAATTACTTGAGCCCAGGAGTTCAAGGCTGCCAATGAACTGTGATCATGCCACTGCCCTCCAGCCTGGGCAACATAGCAAGACCCTCTCTACAAAAAGTAAATGAATGCGTGTAGGGTCCAGTGCTTAGCAAGTGCTCAGTAAAATAGTTGCAGCTCCTGAGTGCCTGCTGTGTGCCACATGAACTGGACCCTAGGTAGCCTCCTCTGGCCCTCCGGGTTGTTCTGGAAGGCAAAACACTTCGTATTTCTCAGCTGAGGAAACAGCCCGAGAGGCAGTACAGCGGCAGGAGGCCAGACTCCGTCCCTCCCGGAGCCGACCACCGCCAGGCCCGAGGTCCCCGCCCGCTGTGCTTCCCGCCCCAGACGGCTCCAGGCCGGCCCCGCCCCCTCCGCGGCGGCCCCGCCCCCGGCACGGCCCCACCCCCAGGCGGAGCCGGCGTCCGGAGCGGTAGCTGGAGAGCGGCTGCGGGACCCCGGCGCGGGCGGCGGCGGCCACCGGGAGCCCTAGAGGTACTGGCGGGAGCGGGGGACGGGAGGCGCCCC